TTCTGTTTTCTTAAGAAGCAGTCTCCCTGGCTTCCTCAGCTAATTCTTTCTGCCTTGGTTTCCACATCGACATGTCTGGGGCTCACAGAGCCTCCTTCTGTGAGCAGCTGTCTGTCCATCCCTCTCTTTTCGAACATTCCGTGCAGTTTGAGTTGAGTGTGACTCCTGGAAACTCACATTGCAGGGTCTGCTGTGTCTGCAATTTGATGGATTTTTATTGTTCACTAGAATAGTTCAAACATGCGTCTCTAGGCCACACCCCTCATCCAAACTCCAGGAGCACAAACTCAGGGACCTACTCGGGTTTCACCCTGATGGGAACCTGAATGCATTTTTCCACCTTCACCAGTGTTTCCTGATTTGGGTGGGTGGAGGATAACTGTGTGCCTCACAAAAAAGGTCTTATGGCCTCACCTCTACCCTTTTTGGCAGTTCATTATCCTATATAATAAAAGGCTAATATGCAGATTGACCAAACAGCCACTATGATGTACACTGACCACCAGGGAGCAGATGTTCAATGCAGGAGCTGCCCCCTGGTGGTCAGTGCACTCCCACAGGGAGAGCTCCACTCAGCCAGAAGCTGGGCTCATGGTTGGTGAGCGCAGTGGCAGTGGTAGGAGCCTCTCCTGTCTCCACAGCAGCACTAAGGATGTCTGACTGCCAGCTTAGGTCGCTTCCCAGGGGGGAGCGGGCCTAAGCCATCAGTCAGACATCCCCCAAGGGCTCCCGGACTGCGAGAGGGCACAGGATGGGCTGAGGAACACACATCTCCCCCCACCACCACCCCGAGTGCACAAATTTTGTGCACCGGGCCTTTAGTAGGTATATAAAAATGCAACTGATTTCTAGATATTTATTTTGTATCTTCACTGAATTCATTTCTCAGTTCTAGTAGTTTTTGGTAGAATATTTAGGGTTGTTTATATATAACATCATGTCATCTGCAAATAATGACAGTTTTACTTTTTCTTTTCCAATTTGGATGCCTTTTATTTCTTCTTCATGTCTGATTGCTGTGGCTAGTACTTCCACTACGATGTCAACTAAGAGTAGTGAATGTGCACATCCATGCCTTGCTCCCGATCTTAAGGGAAACATCTGCAGTTTTTGCCCATGGAGTATGATGTTGGCTGTGGTTTTGTTGTATATGGCCTCTATTATGTTGAGGGATGTTCCCTCTATTCCCATTTTACTGAGACTTTTTATCATAAATTAATGCTGGATTTTATCAAATGCTTTTTCTGCATCTATTGTTATGATCATGTGTTGTTGTTTTTTGTCTTTCATTTTGTTTATGTGGTGTAGTATATTTATTGATTTGCGGATATTGTATCAACCTTGCATCCCCAGAATAAATCTCACTGGATCATGGTGTGTGATCTTTAATGTATTGCTGGATTTGTTTTGCTAATATTTTGTTGAGGATATTAGCATCTATGTTCATCAGGGACTTTGGCCTATAATTTTCTTTCTTTGTAGTGTCTTTGTCTGGTTTTGGAATTAGGATAATGTGCTGGCCTCATAAAATAAGCTTGAGAGTCTTCCCTCTTCTTGAATTTTTTGGAATAGATTGTCAAGGAATAGATGTTAGTTCTTCTTTGAATGTTTGAAAAAAAAAACCCACAAAAAACCTGTGAAGCCATCTGGTCTAGGACTTTTGTTTGTTGGGAGTTTTTTATTACTCCTCCCATTTTACTAGTAGTAATCTGTCTATTCAGATTATCTGATTTTTTCCTGATTCAGTTTTGGAAGATCGTATGTTTCTAGGAATTTATCCATTTGATTCACATAGTCCAATATGTTGGGATATAGTTGTTCATAATATTTTCTTACAGTCCCTTGTGTTTATTTGGTGTCAGTTGTTACCTCTCCTCTTTCATTTCTGATTTTATTTGTTTGACTCCTGTATTTTTTTAAATATATTTTTATTTATTTCAGAGAGGAAGGGAGAGGGAGAGAGATAGAAACATCAATAATGAGAATCATTGGTTGGCTGCCTCCTGCACGTCCCCTGCTGGGGATCGAGCCCACAACCCAGGCATGTGCTCTTGACTGGAATTGAACCCAGGACCCTTCAGTCCACAGGCCAATGCTCTATCCACTGAGCCAAACCAGCAAGGGCTCCATCTTTTTTTTCTTATGAGTCTCGCTAAAGGTTCATCAAACTTTATCTTTTCAAAGAACCAGCTCTTGGTTTCATTGGTTTCTTTTGTATTGTTTGTTTGTTTGTTTTTTTAATCTATTTCATTTATTTCTGCTCTAGTATTTATTATTTCTACTCACTTTGAGCTTTTTATTTTTCAAGTTCCTTTTAGTGTAAAGTTAGATTGTTTGAGATTTTTTGTTTATTTGTTTCTTGAGATAGGCCTGTAATACTATAAAATTCTCTCTTAGGACTGCCTTTGCCTTGTGCCATAGATTTGGGTTGTGTTTTCATTTTCATTTCCTTCAAGGTATCTTTTGATTCATTCCTTGTATATCACTGATTTTTCAGTTTAGCAACTTTCACAATGTTATATTGCATTTTCCTTCTCTACCTCAGCATTCCTACTAAAGCCTTTATAAGAAAAAGGAAAAAAAATTCTTACAGGAATGAATGATTCTTTGGTGTGGCTGCTCCTGAAAGAAACGTTGATATTTTTGTTATTTCAGCAAAAGATTAAGAAAGAAATAAGCAATAAATGTCAGGTACCTTGTTATTGATTTCACATCCTCGTAATCCTAGGTATGGTGTGGCTTTTGCTCCAAGCATACTAATATCCACATTCGGAAGCTGCCTCTCCTTTCCGCCACCTTATCTTTATTGTTGTCATTTGTAGCTAATGTTTGGGGTTCTTTCTTCAGTGGTATCCCATACCAAGTATATCACCATTTATTTGTGTTGTCCTCCTTCCATCACATCTCCCACTTTTCTTACACACACACATATATATATTTTATGGATTTCAGGGACAAAAGGAGAGGGAGAGAAGGATAGAAACATTAATGATAAGGGAGAATCATTGATCAACTGCTTCCTGCAGTGTGTTGTCCTCACACTAGGGATCAAGCCCACAACCCAGGCATATGCCCTGACTGGGAATTGAACTTTGACCTCCTGATTCATAGGCCGATGCTCAGCCATTGAACCACACCGGCCAGGCATATCTCCTGCTTTTCAAAAGCCCTTGAGAGTCAATAAGACATCAGAAACAACACTCACTCCACATGTAATTATATATCTTTAAAAACATCTCTTTTTTCATATTTATTTTTAGCATGTGTTTTATGATGGCACAGCGGCATGTAATATCTCTATATTTGAAAGCCTAAGCGACCGTTAGGACCAGTCGACCGAACGACTGGTCGACCGGTCACTATGACGTGCACTGACCACCAGGGGGCAGATGATCACTGCAGGAGCTGCCCCCTGGTGGTCAGTGTGCTTTCATAACTAACTTCTGTGGCCGGCCAACCTCCCACGGTCCCTCCCCCTGGCTGGCCGGCCCCCATTGGCCCTGATCAGGACTGGGCGAGACAGCCCCGATGGCCCCAATCAGTGGCCAGGCTGAGGGACCCCACATGTGCACAAATTCGTGCACTGGGCCTCTAGTATGGTTTATAAATGAATGAATATACATCTGTGGGGGGAGTGAGTGCTTAATTTTTTTTTGACTGATCAAGGTTTGGAGACCAGGATCTGCACGTGAAAACTTTCTTCCAGGGCAAGAGCCTTTGCTTTCTCCACATGAATATTCATTCCCGAAATGTCCATGCCTGTGCCTATAGTCTCTTGATTGTTGAAACAAAACCAGTTGGTAAAATCTGGTGAGAAATTAGATGTCCAGAAGCATAAGCCAGGAGAGGCTCTCTATGGCATATAGAAATCTGCGGAAACACTCCCTGGGGTGCAAAAATAATTAGCAGATGAAAACCAGTGCGTGGAAATACTCACCTCAACCACTTGGTATTTTCTACCAATTCACGGGGGCCTTCTTCACTAGGATTCACATTGGTCCTTTTTATTGCTCAACCTAAACTCGGCCTCAGGAAATAACAACCTAACTTGTCAGGTAGGGAGAGAGGAAAAGGTTTTGGGAACCAGCCTTCACCTAAAAGAGTTTTATCCTTTAGGCATAGGAAACATTTTGGGAACATTTATATAATTATAAAATTTCTGATTTAGTAGCTGATCCACAAATAAATGGGTAATTGGGAGTATCTGACTAGAGACAAGAATGAGCATTAGCCCAGCTGGTGTGGCTCAGCGGTTGAACATCGACCTATGAACCAGGAGGTCACAGTTTGATTCCCCGTCAGGGCACATGCCCAGGTTGTGGGCTCAATCCTCAGTGTGGGGTGTGCAGGAGGCAGCCAATCAATGATTCTCTTTCATCACTGATGTTTCTATCTCTCTCATCCTGTTCCTTCTTCTCTGAAAGCAATAAAGATATATTTTAAGAAGTAATTAGTATTAATGGAGGATTGACTCTAAATTATAGCTCCTGGCACCTGTAGGTCTCAATATACATAGTTTTCATTGGAAGGTCATTTTCTCTGTTGTATTCCTTATTTCTGGTATCCCTATGAAGGGAAGTATAATTTTAGGTACATACTGACAAAATTTGAATACAAGGTACTTAGATAAAAGTTATAGTCTGTTTTAGAGATGAAATTGAAGGATACTGTAGTTATTGCTTTGGCAAATGATTTTTTGGCTGATGCACTGTATGGGTATCAATTATATGATTTATCATTTTTAAAGTATATCTTTATTGATTTCAGAGAGGAAAGGAGAGAGAGAGAGAGAAAGAAACAGAGAAACATCAATGATGAGAGAATCATTTATTGGCTGCCTCCTGCATACCCTCCACTGGGGATCGAGCCCGCAACCTGAGCATGTGCCCTTGACCAGAATCAAACCTGGAACCCTTCAGTCTGCAGGCCAACGCTCTATCCACTGAGCCAAACCAGCGAGGGCTATGATTTATCATAAAACTTTTTCCTTTTTCACACAGGTTTCCTCCTGAAGTGCCAAGATCTTTTCCATTCAACACCTCAGTCATATACAAAAAGACTGTCTTTGTAGAGTTCACGGATCACCTTTTCAACACTGCCAAGCCCAGGCCACCATGGATGGGTATGAAAACAGTATTGGTTGTTTATTATAAAACGGGGTATCTACTACCACCTATCGGGAAACACACTGGGTGAATAGTCTCAATTTTTTCTGCTGGGCCCTCCTCCTCTGCTTTTACTGTAGATATTAGAGTGCCAAGGATCATGGACCTGCATTTGCTTTATTTTCTTTCTACCTTCAATCCCTAGATGATCTTGTTCAGTCTCATAGCTTTAAAATATCATCTCTATGCTAATAAGTTTATATCTTCAGTTCTGACTGCTTGCTTGATACCTTCACTTAGATGTCAAATAAGCATGCAAAAGATGTTCAGATGAAACATTTTCTATCTTAGAATTATTGTTAAAAATTATAGGTGACAAGTATCCCCAAATTCTAAAGAGAGATATCAACCCACCTATTCAGGAATCATTGATTGGCTGCCTCCTTCACGCCCCCTACTGGGGATTGAGCCCGCAACCCTTACATGTACCCTGACTGGCAATCAACCATGACCTCTTGGTTTATGGGTCAACGTTCAACCATGGAGCCACACTGGCTGGGCTTATTTTTTATGTGCTTAATGTCTCTCAGATGTGATCTCCATGATCTGTCCTATTCACTATATCTCCGCTGCCTAGGACAGTCTCTAGAATATACTGTAGTCGGAACTCAGCTACTATTAGTTAAATGAATGAATGCATTGAATGAATTGCCAGAACTGTGCCCTCAGAACAATCATAAAGTTGAGCTGGTAATAGCAGTTTCTACGTTCATTCATTTGACTACCACTTTTTATCAGTAACCACAGAGACATGCTTCTCCACTGTGACTCGGACCATAACTTTCATAAAAAAAGGTTTTCTGGAGTGCCACCCTCCAAGTGACCTTTGGGGTGCATCTCATTCTTGCAGGTCTGCTGGGTCCTACCATTCGGGCTGAGGTTTCTGACACAGTGGTCATTACACTTAAGAACATGGCTTCTCATGCGGTCAGTCTTCATGCTGTTGGTGTTTCCTACTGGAAAGCATCTGAAGGTGAGTCAAATGTCCTCCTACTGTCCTGTCATCTCGGCATAGAAGAATATTGAGTATAAGGTCATCAAACTAGTGAATAGTAGAGTTAAGAGGCTAACCTAGGCCTATTTCATGAAGTTAAGAACATTGTCATTTTAGTCTAATCCCCCGAATTTTTATTTGGTCCCCTCTCCTCCCATGGGAATCCAAGCCACAGATCCTAAAATTCCCACTTCATCTGCCTTCCTATGCCCAGAAAACTTACTAGAGAGGAATCAAGACTCATGGTATAAAGTTGAAACAGAATTTTCCTTCTCCTTTTTTAGATTCTGACTTTTCAGATATTTTCTCTCCTTCCCCTCCCCCCATTTCTAAATATGGATGCCACCAGGGGATGAGAGACAACTAGCAGAAGCACAAGCTGACCTCGTTAAAACAAACAACCTGTTTGGCCACAGTCCCCACTTCAACGATCTTCTCCTTAAACTTCACAATGCAGGAAGGGAGTGAAGAGGGTGCCACAATTGACTATGATATTGTCCAGATAGATATAGATCAAGAAGATTCAAGAAAATCCTTAATAAATTATTGGAGCACATGCTCTATGTTGTACAGCCTAACTATGCTTATATGTTGACCAATTTCTCATTCTGAAATTGGAAGACCTTAATTTTCTGGGTTGCACTCATGAGGCCAGGGCTGACCTGGATTGGAGGAAGGAGATAGGATGGGGCAGATGGTATAGAGGAAAAATCATTCCAAGCTCTGGCTGGAGCTGGGCTGGCTATTTCCATGAGGCTTATCTACTTGGGAGCATTTAAAATAAGTCTAGGGGCATTTGAGAGAGTCCAGAGTTCTCACAATTGTGCAGCATATAGCACTTGTATCCTAAGCCAGGTGAGGTTTGGGAAAATTGATTATCTAATTTCTCACACGGGCATCTACAGTGCTTCTGCCCAGGAACAACACAGTCAGGTGATGGCCTAATGCCCATGTGATTTATAGTCCTACCATGAGCCTTCATATTTTTACTAGAGGCCTTGTGCATGACGTTCTTGCACCAGGGGGGTCCCTCAACCAAGCCTGTGTCCTCTCGCAGTCCGGGACTCCTCGGGGGATGTCTGCCTATAGGCGGACATCCCCCAAGGGGTCCTTAGTGCTGCTGCAGAGGTGGGAGAGGCTCCCTGCCACCATCACTGCACTTGCCAGCCATGAATCCTGCTTCTGGCTGACCACCAGGGGGCAGCTCCTGCATTGAGCATCTGCCCCCTGGTGGTCAGTGTGTGTCATAGCAACCAGTCATTCCGCCATTCAGTTGATTTGCATATTAGGGTTTTATTATATAGGATGTTATGATCAAGAAGTTCCTGACCTTCTTATACTAGTCTGGGATCCCACGACTGTCAAGTAAATTTGTGATGTTAAATATCATTCTATGAGTTTGTTGACTTTTCTCATATCCTTTTGTAAAGTATTTGACCTAGTGTTTAAGCGTTTATCCTGTTGAAAACAAATGAGTTATTATTTTCTTATTGTGGAGGTACTTTATATTCAAAATACCAATCCAAAGACATATAAATATTTGCATATCTTCTAGTCTGTGGGTTGAATTTTTACTATCTTAATTTTATTTTCATAAACACATGTTCTTAAAGTTAATGAAGCATAGAAATTCAACAGTTAATGAAACACAAAAATTTATCACATTTTTCTTTTATTTTAGAGCTTTGTGTCCTGTTTATTAAGACATTTGCCTATCCCAAAGTCACGAAAATTGTCTTCTATGCTTTCCTCTAGAAGTTTTATTATTTTACCCTTCACACCATCTCAAATTGATTTTTGTGTATAGCTACCTCATAGCATTTTTAAATAGCTTTATTGAGGTACAAATTACATACCACAAAATTCACCCCTTTAAGGTAGTTTGATGACTTTTAGTAAATTTAGACAGTTGTGCAGTCATCAACACAATCCAGCTTTAGGACACTTAAAGAAGTTCTCTCTTTCAAGTTCAAGCCCCATTCCACCCCCAGTCCCAGGCAACCACTGATATGCTTTGTATCTCTATGGCTTTGCATACTTGTCATTTTTTAAATTGATTTCAAAAAGGAAGGGAGAGGAAGAGAGCAATAGAAACAACAATGATGAGAGCCCTGACCAGTTTGGCTCGGTGGATAGAGCGTCGGCCTTAGGACCAAAGGGTCCCAGGTTTGATTCCAGTTAAGGGCATGTACCTTGGTTGCTGGCACATCCCCAGTAGGGGGATGTGTAGGAGGCAGCTGAATCGATGTTTCTCTCTTATCAATGTTTCTAACTCTTTATCCCTCTCCCTTACTCTCTGTAAAAAATAAATAAAATATATTTAAAAAAAACAATGATGAGAGAGAATCACTGACCAGCTGCCTCCTGCACACCCCACAATGGGGATTGAGCCCACACCCCAGGCACGTGCCCTGACCAGGAATCAAACCGTGACCGCCTGGTTCATAGGTTGATGCTCAACAACTGAGCCATGCTGGCCGAGCTATAGCTGCTGCTTATTAGTCTTCCAACTAAAGATGCAGAAAGGCTGTTGCTTGTGTAGAATCTACTGGTGACAATAAATTTGATATGTTTCCCCGAGTGGACAATGGGCATAAAAATGACAGTTTTATGCATTCTTGCTTTAGGTGCTCAATATGAGGATCAGACCAGCCAAAGGGAGAAGGAAGATGATAAAGTCATTCCTGGTGACAGTCATACCTATGTCTGGGAGGTCCTGAAGGAGAATGGCCCAATGGCCTCTGACCCACCATGTCTCACCTACTCCTATTTTTCTCATGTGGACCTGGTGAAAGACCTGAATTCAGGTCTCATTGGAACCCTCCTGGTTTGTAGAGAAGGTAAGTGTAAGAAAAGGTAGGATTGAGAGGAAATAAGCAGGGAAATACAAACATCTGGGTCTATCCATAAAAGATAGCATTTATTAATCTGAAAGAGGTTCCTTTCCCCTAGCATCATGCCCATGAAAAGGAGCGTAATCTAGTTTCCTAGAGGAACAGGTGTTCATCCTATGTTGCCACAATGCACTTTTTGTTTTGTTTTGTTTTTTATTATTCCTCACCTGAGGATATTTTTTCCATTGAATTTTAGAGAGTGGAAGGGAAGGGGAGAGACAGAGAAACATCGATGTGAGAGAGACACATTGATTGGTTGCCTCCTGCACACGCCCCAACAAGGGCCAGGGATCGAGCCTGCCTGGTACATGTCTTTGACCGGAATCAAACCCGAAACCTTTCATTTCACAGGCCGATGCTCTATCCACTGAGCCAAATCGGCTAGGGCCCCTACTTGATAATTTTAAAATAAAATAATTAAAGTGTTTTCCGATAACTTTGCTTGTATTTTAAATTTGTATAGGTGAGTTACTTTCTTTGTCCAACTTTTACTTTCCAAGAAGCCAGGGTACAAGAGAGACAAAAGGGGAATATCATAAGCAAAAATCTTCCTACTCAAACTAAGGCTTCAAAGAAAACTTTCCCCCAAAATGAAGAAATACAATGCTAAGAAAGACAGCCAACAAATTCAACCATTAACACATGAAGCAAGCTCATTTTTAACATTAACAATTCCAAATATTGGTGTACATGGTGTTCATTTAAAGTGTGACTGAGGTGTTTAATATAGATAGTTGTTATTTTGCTCACAAATTTTTCGTTTATTTACAACTGCAGAAGTAAAAATGTTAAACATAATAGAAATTCTCTATTAATTGCTTATAGGCACATTTTGTAATTTTTCTTTTTCTCTTATATTTGCTCTGAACACATGTATATACTATATAAAATATAATTATATGGGCTTGTATTTTATATATCTTTTAAAATATATACATATATTTTAAATCTTTATTGTTGAGATTATTACAGATGTCCCTTCCCCCACACACACATTGCCTCCCTCCACCCGATTCCCGCCCCGTCCCAGGCCTTCACCACCCTATTGTCTGTGTCCATAGGTAATGCATATATGCATATAAGTTCTTTGGATAATCTCTTCCCACCTCACACTGGGATGGAGCCTGCAACCCCGGGCTTGTGTCCTAACTGGGAATCGAACCACAACCTCAGTGGTTGATGCTCAACCACTGAGCTATGCTGGCTGGGCTAGTAATTCATTTTTATTACATTTTACAAAAGTCATGGTCTGCAACAAATTTGAAATTTGAAAAAAAAAGGTTCTTTACCCGAATTAGTTGTGGTGGTGTTTTTTTTTTTTATATGGAATGCTTCACGAATTTGCGTGTCATCCTTGTGCAGGGGCCATGCTAATCTTCTCTGTATCGTCCCAATGTTAGTATATGTGCGGCCGAAGCGAGCACCCGAAGAGTTTTAGAAGCATTGGTATAGGAAACCTCACACCAAAGAAATGATGTTATGGTAAAGTTAACAAGAGACAAAGGACTACATCTGTTCTACTCTCAGGCTGTTGATGAAGTAATGTCTCCTCCTAGTGTCAGTTTGCTGGAAAGGATTTTCAATAGACAATAAATGTCCTCCCTTCTTTTGCAGGGAGTCTGGCCAAAGAAAGGACACACGAATTTGTACTGCTTTTTGCTGTATTTGATGAAGGTTAGTGAGCTGCAATCTGAATTTTGAACTCCTGAAAGAAAGCAAATATATTAATTTATTCTGGTACTTGAAATGAGAGCTGCTATTGTCCAGAAGTGATTCCAGAAAGATCATAAACTACTTTACTGTTCAGAAATGAAGGAGGTGGAAATGACAATGAATCCCCACCCCTAAATGCACCCATGGTTTCATTGGCAGCTGAGGTAAGATACAGGAGCTGGGTCACAGGTTAGCCTAATCCCTCTCATTAAGTCCACAAACAAGGACTTTTTGCTTAACTTAAGAAAATTTTAGTAAAAATTGTACATTGCATATATTTAAGGTGATGATTTTACATACATAAAGTGAAATAGTTAACTACAGTCAAGCTAATTTGACATCCATCTTCTCACAGTGACCATTTGCGTGTGGCAAGTGTACGTGAAATCTACTCTCAGGGTATTTCCAGTGTTCGACACACTTTTTTTTTTCAACACACTCTTAGTAACTATGATTATCATGCCTGTGCTTTCTATCCCCAGAACTTATTCATTTTAAAACTGAAAGTTTGTACCCTTGACTAATATCTCCCCATTTCCCCCATCCCAGCTCTTGGAAACCACCATTCTACTCTCTGCTTCAATGAATATGCCTTCTTTTATCTTCACCTTTTAACTTTTATTTATTTACTTACTTATTTATTTTTATTGATTTCAGAGTGGAAGGGAGAAGAAGAGAGATACAAAAACATGAACAATGAGAGAGAATCATTGATCAGCCGCCTCCCGCACCCCAGGCATGTTCCCTGACTGGGAATCGATGTTCTCTCTCGTCATTGATGTTTCTATCTTTCTCTCCCTCTCCTTCCTTTCTGAAATCAATTTTAAAAAATCTTTTTTTAAAAAAAAGAAGAAGAAATGCTTAAGGTGTGAGCAGTCTTTACCCCATGGGAGAGAGGGAAGAAGAAAAGGAGGGTCAGTCATGAGACAGACACTCAGTTGGGCCTACATTTGTATCCTATCTCATCAGGAAAAAGTTGGCATTCAGAAACACATGAGTCCTCCACACAGGCATCTGCTCGGCCCCGGACTGAAATGCACACAATCAATGGCTATGTAAACCGGTCTCTTCCAGGTATGTATACACTCGCTGAAGAATCCTCAGGTTCGCCCTAGCCGGTTTGACTCAGTGGATAAAGTGTTGGCCTACGGATTGAAGGGTCCCGGGTTCAATTCCAGCCAAGGGCACATGCCTGGGTTTGGGGCTCAATCCGCAGTTGGGGGTGTACAGAAGGCAGCCGATCAATGATTCTCTCTCATCATTGATGTTTGGGAGCTTAGTCTCTTTGGGTTTTCTTGAAATAATGATCTCATGTCAAGCCTTGACTGTTCAAATGAATTATATTTTGATTAATGATCTTTGTGCTGTTAAAAAAATAAATGACCAAAGTGTGTGTTTATATATGCAGAGATGTATATTATACGTATGTGTGTGTGTACCTCATTTGTGTTTGTGTGTATATACCGAGAGTGAAAGAGCCAGCTGTTTTAGCCATTTACGTCTGGAGGATGGGTGGGTAATACAGTAAGTTCTGTTGAAAGGAAATTATGGGAGAGAATCTGATACTCTGAATCATTCAACAAGACAGGGTTCAGAGGGCAAGTGTGGAAATAAACTCAGAAACTAGCTTCCTGTTGCTAAGTCAGTTTTTAAAAAATAAACATATAATGTGAACTCTTTTTGGAAAAAAAAAAAGAATAAAAAGATTTGAGTCTTTGTATTAAAATTTCACAGCAGGATAAATAAATAAATAAAAAAGATCCCAACACAAAATTATTATTGTGGAATTCTGAGAACACAGAGACCTGGGAGAAACAGTCACATATAAAGACATGAGAATTAGATTGTCAGTATAATAAAGCAGTACTTTACAGTTCTAAGGTAGAAGTCATTTTCAACCTAGAATTCATAGCCAAACTGTAAATCAGCATTGGGGGAAGAATAAAGACATTTTTAGAAATGGTAGCCCTTACCAGGGGATTGTCAAAGGCGGGGGAAAAAAAGGACACATATGTAATACCCTTTGTAATACTTTAAGCAATAAAACAATAAAAAAAAAAGAAAGAAATGGTAGCCCTTAGAAGCCATTGAAAATGTATTCAGTAAAACTGGAATGTAAGCCAAGAAAGAGGAAAATGGAAAATTTAGAAACACAAGAAAATAA